ATGGGTCTCTATGTGAGTCTATGGGTCTCTATGTGAGTCTATGGGTCTCTTATGTGAGTTTATTCGTCTCTTATGTGAGTCTATGGGTCTCGTATGTGAGTCTATGGGTCTCGTATGTGAGTCTATTAGCTTCTATGTGAGTCTATGGGTCTCTATGCCAGTCTGTGGGTCTCTATAACAGTATCGTGGCCTCGATGTAAACTATGTGTCTCTATGTCAGTCCGTGGGCCTCTATATCAGTCATTTTGACTCTATGTGAGCCTATTGGTCTCTATGTCAGTCTGTGGGTCTCTATAACAGTCTATTGGCCTCTGTCTATGGGTGTCTATGTCAGTCTGTGGGTCTCTATAACAGTATGTATATTGACCTCTATGTGAGCCTATGGGTCTCTTATGTGAGTCTATTGGTCTCTTATGTGAGTCTATTGGTCTCTTATGTGAGTCCATGGGTCTCTATGTGAGTCTATGGGTCTCTATGTGAGTCCATGGGTCTCTATGTGAGTCTATGGGTCTCTTATGTGAGTCTATTCGTCTCTTATGTGAGTCTATGGGTCTCTATGTGAGTCTATGGGCCTCTATGTGAGTCTATGGGTATCTTATGTGAGTCTATTCGTCTCTTATGTGAGTCTATTGGTCTCTTATGTGAGTCTATGAGTCTCTTATGGGAGTCTATTCGTCTCTTATGTGAGTATATGGGTCTCTTATGTGAGTCCATGGGTCTCTATGTGAGTGTATGGGATCTCTTATGTGAGTCTATTCGTCTCTTATGTGAGTCTATGGGTCTCTATGTGAGTCTATGGGCCTCTATGTGAGTCTATGGGTCTCTTATGTGAGTCTATTGGTCTCTTATATGAGTCTATTGGTCTCTTATGTGAGTCTATGGGTCTCTTATGTGAGTCTGTTCGTCTCTTATGTGAGTATATAGGTCTCTTATGTGAGTCTATTGGTCTCTTATGTGAGTCTATGGGTCTCTATGTGAGTCTATTCGTCTCTTATGTGAGTCTATGGGTCTCTATGTGAGTATATGGGCCTCTATGTGAGTCTATGGGTCTCTTATGTGAGTCTATTGGTCTCTTATGTGAGTCTATGGGTCTCTTATGTGAGTCTATTGGTCTCTTATGTGAGTATATTGGTCTCTTATGTGAGTATATTGGTCTCTTATGTGAGTCTATGGGTCTCGTATTCGAGTCTATGGGTCTCGTATGTGAGTCTATGGGTCTCGTATGTGAGTCTATTAGCTTCTATGTGAGTCTATGGGTCTCTATACCAGTCTGTGGGTCTCTATAACAGTATCGTGGCCTCGATGTGAGACTATGGATCTCTATGCCAGTCCGTGGGCCTCTATATCAGTCATTTTGACTCTATGTGAGCCTATTGGTCTCTATGTCAGTCTGTGGGTCTCTATAACAGTACATTGACGTCTATGTGAGACTATGGGCCTCTATGTGAGACTATGGGTCTCTATGTCAGTCTATGGATCTCTATGTGACGCTATTGGTCTCGATATGAGTATATTGGTCTCTGTCTATGGGTGTCTATGTGAGTCTGTGGGTCTCTATAACAGTCTTTTGGCCTCTGTCTATGGGTCTCTCTGTCAGTCTGTGGATCGCTATCCGAGCCGCCACGCTCTCTATTTGAGTCTTTGGGTCTCGAGGTGGGGCTCTGGGTCCCCGAAGTGTGTCACATTCTCGGCATCTCGCGCAATGGAGCGAACCCACCCGGCGAATGATTCCAGAGCTCTGTTGGATCTCCGGGAGGACTCGAAGAGACCTCGAGTATCGTTCACGCGCGACTCCGACAGGCGAGACGTGAGCCGATACCAGGAGAGCCACAGACACCAGAGCAGCATCCGTGATCGAGTCGAGATGTCGGTTATACGTCCTGAATCGCACCAATTAGTGCACGGGGGGGGGGGGGGGGGTGGGGGTTTCCCGGCGAATTAAGCTGATAATTGGCTGCGCGAGTGCGCGCGATGCGGAGCCCTTAACAATCATCACTCCCGATCCCCCACTCACCCTACCACCCCACTCACCCTGTCACCCCACTCACCCTGTCACCCCACTCACCCTACCACCCCACTCACCCTGTCACCCCACTCACCCTGTCACCCCACTCACCCTGTCACCCCACTCACCCTGTCACCCCACTCACCCTGTCACCCCACTCACCCTGTCACCCCACTCACCCTGTCACCCCATTCACCCTGTCACCCCACTCACCCTACCACCCCACTCACCCTGTCACCCCACTCACCCTACCACCCCACTCACCCTGTCACCCCATTCACCCTGTCACCCCACTCACCCTACCACCCCACTCACCCTACCACCCCACTCACCCTGTCACCCCATTCACCCTGTCACCCCACTCACCCTACCACCCCACTCACCCTACCACCCCACTCACCCTGCCACCCCACTCACCCTGTCACCCCACTCACCCTGTCACCCCACTCACCCTGTCACCCCACTCCCCCACTCACCCTGTCACACCACTCACCCTGTCACCCCACTCATCCTACCACCCCACTCACCCTGTCACCCCTTTCACCCTGTCACCCAACTCACCCTGTCACCCCACTCACACTACCACCCCACTCACCCTGTCACCCCACTCACCCTGTCACACCACTCACCCTGTCACCCCACTCACCCTGTCACCCCACTCACCCTACCACCCCACTCATCCTGTCACCCCACTCACCCTACCACCCCACTCACCCTGTCACCCCACTCACCCTGTCACCCCACTCACCCTACCACCCCACTCACCCTGTCACCCCACTCACCCTGCCACCCTACTCACCCTGTCACCCCACTCACACTACCACCCCACTCACCCTGTCACCCCACTCACCCTGTCACTCCACTCACACTACCACCCCACTCACCCTGTCAACCCACTCACCCTGTCACACCACTCACCCTGTCACCCCACTCACCCTGTCACCCCACTCACCCTACCACCCCACTCATCCTGTCACCCCACTCACCCTACCACCCCACTCACCCTGTCACCCCACTCACCCTGTCACCCCACTCACCCTACCACCCCACTCACCCTGTCACCCCACTCACCCTGCCACCCCACTCACCCTGTCACCCCACTCACACTACCACCCCACTCACCCTGTCACCCCACTCACCCTGTCACTCCACTCACACTACCACCCCACTCACCCTGTCACCCCACTCACACTACCACCCCACTCACCCTGTCACCCCACTCACCCTTTTACCCCACTCACCCTGTCACCCCACTCACCCTGTCACCCCACTCACACTACCACCCTACTCACCCAACTCCCCCACCACCCCACTCACCCCACCACCTTACTCACCCCACTCAGACTGCCATCCGACTCACCTCACTCACCCCACTCACCCTAATCAACGTCCCCACCAGCGGCTCACCTGACCCACCCACTACTTCTCCACTCACAAAGACAAAGACGCCCCCCCCCCTATAGCCGCACAGGCCGATGGGAGCAAGTGGCCGTTCGCACTCGGTTGTGGAGTGGCCGCTACCACGCTCGACCGCATTTGTCTTCCCCGGGTCTGATCTTCACACATTGCACCGGGTACTCGCGTAAGTTGACCGTGGACCGGTTCAAATATCAATGGCCCGCCGATGTTGCCCTCGGCCAGGACTCGGCTCGTCAAGGTGGTGGCGCAGTGCGCTCGCCACTGAAACGCCGCCGCTCCAAAAGCAAAGACGAAGATGCCCCGTATAGCCTCGACAGGCTATTGGGGGCGAGTGCTGCTCGCGACCACGGTCCACACGAACCAACCCGGTAGCGTAACTCGTTCATTTGGGGGGCACGGAGAGGGCGGGAGGGGGGTGACGTCAATGTTAAACAATCGTCAAAATAATGTTAACGTTACAAATTTAGAAGGGGATTAGGGGGGTTAGGGGGGGTTCAGCCCCCCTCTATACCCCCAACATTGCGCCAGGGCCCCAACGACTCTCCAGCCTCTCCATCGCTCTGTCCTGCAGAAGGGACCGTTGTCCGAAACGTCGCTTGATATGCATCGTGTTCCCTTGAGGCCACAGTGATTGGTGGTGGTGGTGGTGCTGATGGTATTGAGGAACGACTCGAGTTGCTGCTGTTGTTGGCTGTGCTTGTGCACCGCTGTCAACGCAGCAGCAGCAGCAGCAGCACCAAACATGACTTCAACTCCCATTGCGCTACCCACGCGGTCCCGTCTGGCGCCACGCGGCTTCAATCACGCAGTGGCAGGGAGTCCATTAAATTCACAGTGGCCCAAAGGGACATGTATTATGATTGATAACATATTGCTTTGAACTCATCTACAAACTCTGTCGCACGATAATAGAGCATTAAGTACGTTCATATATGTGCACAACAGGCGACGTTTCTGGCAAATAGGCCTTCTTTTTATAGCAGTAGGAATGGGGCCCTTTTCCCGAAACGTCCCCTGTTATATAAATATTTGATCGTAGCATAATAAATACATTTATATATACTGTAGTCTCCCCCAGCACTCCAACCCACCCAATTGCTCTCCGATCAAACTAACCAGGGCCCCACCCCCCTAATCCCCCAGCTCCCCCGCCCCCCGCCCATGAATAATGAACGTGGCCAATGCCCCGCTCCCTTTGCCCGCCGCTGCGGCGTGCCCCGTGACGCGCATCGGTAGCGGCGGCGTCGGCAGAGGAGGCGCCTGAGCAGCAGCCACCACCACCACCTCCACCACCACCTCGTCCGTGCGTCCGTGCGTGCGTCCGTCCCAAAAGGAGTCGCTTGTTCTTCGCGCGGCGCTCTCAGCGCAGCTCGGCCAAGCTCTCGTTTCCCTTTATACGCCTCCTAAATTTAGCTGGCTTGCTGAGAGAGAGCGCGAAGTTTCCTGTTCTCCCCCGCCACGCGCCAATTGGTCCGGGCCGAGACGGCCCCCGCGATTGCGAGGATCCCGCCGAGCCAATGGAGGGGGCGTAGGGGCGCTCGTTATAAAGGCGGCAGCGGCGAGCGGGCCACAGCTCACAACTCGCTCGGTCCGTCTCCCCCCCCAGCCACCCACCCACGATCGGCTCGCAGCTCCACCGGCTGCTCGCGAGAGAGTCGGAGAGAGACGCACACGCGCGCACGCACGCACGCGCACACGGGGGGTGCTGAGCTGAGCTCACTTCGCTTTGTCACAGTCTTGAGCGGGTTTGCTTACTTGGCTGGCCGGCCGGAGTCGCCGGTCACTCACCGGCTGAGTGGCTCGCTCGCTCGTTCGCCGTCTTAGCGGTGGAGCGGCTCACTCGCTGGCTGGCTGACTCACCGGCTGGTTGGAGAACCTGGCAGCGGGAAAGGGGCGAGCGCCGAAGGAGGCCCACTGCGGGTCATGGCTCTGGTGGCCTCTGGACTGCCTTCCATCTCGAGTTTCGCGCTCTCGTGCGGACTACTGGACAGCAACTGCGCGGACATTATGAACGTGAGTGCTGCGCGTGGCTCGTGCGAAAGAGCGAGAGACGGAGAGAGGCGAGAGGCGGACGATTAACACGGTTGGCCGCGTACGGTGCGAAAGAAGTTCAATATATCTGCGGGTTGAGAGGAGCGTGGATGGATGGAGAGGTGGAGAGATGGATGAGTAGTTGAACGATTGGGTGAGTTGATGGGTGGGTAGACGCGCAGACTGATGGATGCACGGATGGGTTGATGGCTGGGTGGGTAGTTCGGTCGAATAAGTAATCAATGGGTGGATGGAATAAGGGAGAGCTATACGGGTGCATGTATGAATGCACGTTGGAATTTATGTGTGGGTGGATGGATGAATTAGTTGGGTGGATAAATGGAAGTAGAGACATGTGAATTAGTGGATGAATGTATAGATGGGTCGGTGGATCGATGAGTGGCTGAATGGAAAAATGTATGGATGGGTGGATTTGTGAGTGAACGGACAAATGGTGGATGCGAGGGTGGATGGGAGGGTGGATGGGAGGGTGGATGCGAGGGTGGATGCGATGGTGGATGGGTACGTGCACCTGTGCGTGCGCAAGTTTGGCAGTCGCCCTCCCTTTCCTCTAAAATCATCTCTCTCCCCTCCTCCCACTCTCTCTCTCTCCCCCCTCTCCCATCTACACTACTTTCCTCTGTCTCTCCCTCTCTCTAAAACCCGTACAGGTGTACACACACACAGAGAGAGAGAGGGGCGCACACATGTACAAAGATCACCCGTTTCGCCTTAACAAATGCGGTTAGCGAGCACCTATGAAGGCCGGCACGGCACACGAGGGGATGGGTGCCCAGCACCACGCCCGGCCGCCTTTGTCTCCCCAGTGGCGATGCTTACACACCGCACCAGGTACTCATTTGAGGCTGGGTCGGCCTATGGGGAGGCCCAAGACTGGTTAAGATAATCGTCAATGATGTTGGTAGCGCAGCGCTCCCCACAGGTACACACACAGGTAGACACACACACAAATTGTCAGATTTCAATCTCAGGTGCTAACTCGTGCACGTGGAGTAATTGAGGAATTTGAATGGGCAACGACATCATCATCGGCAGCGCGTTCTCCGCCACACGAACGCATGCACAGATGCACACAGACACACACAAGATAAAGATTCCTCGTATAGCCTTCAACATGCTGCTGGGGCAAGTGCTGTTAGTGAGCGCCGAACTATAGAGTCCATGAGCCGGTGCGCATACACGTGTCATACTTTAGTATGCATTTATCCGCCAGACAAAGATGATGATTCCATTGGAATACACGTCACAGCGTATCATCGATTTTCAATCCAGCAGTAGAGGACGAGGGAGTAACGCTGAATTTCTCTGGTGCTCAACCCTTTGCTTGCAGCACTAAACCAAGTGCAAATTCCACATTCGTATGGCGAGGGCCAGTTTATCCCGTAGAATTTACCGCTGTTGACTTGCACGACAAAGTGCTGCACTGATTTTGTCGATGAACCCGGCTCCTCGAATTCTATTCCCGCTCACGTAAAGTTGAACCGGTCCTGGGCCAGCCTTAAACGAGCAGCTAGTTGCGGTGTTGTGAAGCATCATCACTGGGGGGGGGGATGAAGGCGGCCGGGCGTGGTACCGTTTCGCCCTTCATATACAGGGACTTCCACACCCCAACAGTATGTTCGCGGCGATGTAAGGAGGATCTTTGTCTTAAGTTTGTGTGTGCGGGGAGCGGTAGCGTAGGGGTCAGCTCGCTGCGCTTCGAAACCCGGCGACTCGGGTTCGGAATCCCCGCTCAGCGACAACATCGGTGACGATCATCTGAACCGACGTGGGCCTCCCCCCGGACCGACCCGGCCTCGAATGAGTAGGGGAATCTGCGTGTAAACATCGCCACTTGGGCAGACAAACGTGGCCGGGCGTAACTCTGGTCACCACGCCCGCTCGTGGTGCCGACCATCAAAGGTGCTCGGCTAACAGCACTTGCCCCAAAAGTGTGTTCAGGCTATAGGGGAGTGGGGGTATCTTTGTCTTGCGTGTGTCTGCGCAGGCCTCGCGCGTGTGTACAATTATCGCATTACGCGCACGCGCGCGCGCGCTTGTGTGCTGTATGTGCTACATTGATAAGCAACAAAGACCCTTAATATTCGCCAACAACTGTTTCCCATTTGGGTCTCGGGCAGAAATGCAAGCAGCACTTTGTACCGGCCCTTATGAATTGACACGCAACACCGGTGAACGTGTTCTGTGAGCCCGCCAGGACCGGCCTCCCGACCAACAGACTGCCCATTGTGGGTTGACTCAGGGGCACGGGTCGCGCGTGCGCGTGCGTGCGTGCGTGCGCGTGCGTGTGTGTTTGTGTTCACAATATTCACGCAATCATCATCAGCAGGAGCCAGCAGCCGTGGTACAGTACACGCAATAGTAGCAAAGACAAAGATATACCTATAGCCTTAACAGACTGTTGGGGCAAGTGCTGTTAGCGAGCACCTATTAAGGCCAAAACGGCACACGAGGGAGTGGGTGGCCAGCACCACCACCGGCCGCCTTTGTCTCCCCAGTTTTTACGCACCGCACCGGGTACTAATTTGAGGCTGGGTCGACCTAGGGGAGGCCCAGAACCGGTTCATATAATCGTCACCGGTGTCGGCGAGCGGGAATCGAACCGGGTTTGCCAGGTTCGTAGCGAAGCGCTCTAACCGCTACACTACCGCTCCCCAATAGTTGCACACAAACACACACACACTCTCACACACACACTCTCACACACACACTCTCACACACACACTCTCACACACACACTCTCACACACACACTCTCACACACACACTCTCACACACACACTCTCACACACACACTCTCACACACACACTCTCACACACACACTCTCACACACACACTCTCACACACACACTCTCACACACACACTCTCTCTCACACACACACTCTCACAAAGATCCCCCATATAGCCTTAACAGACTGTAGGGGCAAGTGCTGTTAGCGAGCACCTATGAAGGCCGGAACGGTACACAAGGGGGTGGGTGGCCAGCACCACGCCCGACCGCCTTTGTCTCCCTAGTGGCAATGTTTACACACCGCACCAGGTATTCATTTGAGGCTGAGTCGACCTAGGGGAGGCCCAGAACCGGTTCATATAATCGTCACCGGTGTCGGCCGTGAGCGGGAATCGAACCGGGTTCGCCAGGTTCATAGCGGAGCGCTCTAACCGCTACACTACCGCTCCCCAATAGTTGCACACAAACACACACACACTCTCTCACACACACACTCTCACACACACACTCACACACACTCTCTCTCACACACTCTCTTACACACACTCTCTCACACACACTCTCACACACACGCACTCTCACACACACTCTCACACACACACACACTCTCTCACACACACACTCTCTCACACACTCTCTCACACACACACTCTCACACACACACACTCTCACACACTCTCTCACACACACTCTCACACACACACAATCTCACACACACGCAAAAAACAAACGTTTTTTGAACACTGAGTTTAACATCTTTAATTGTAATTAGTGTGCTTTGTTTAATTGATTGATCAATCCGCTTTGTACAGACATTGTTATTCTTGTTAGATTTCCAACCTCACCTGCACCACCTTTTTTAACCTTTTTTTATTGCCACTGTTTGTCTTTCGCTGGGTTTTGTGTGTGTGTGCGAATAAACCATACAATAGACAAAGACACACACACACATATACACACATCGAAGCGTAGACACACACCAAAACACAAAGACCACAACAAAGACATAGGTCCCCCGTATAGCGGTAACACACGTTTGGGGCAAGTGCAGTTTGCGAGCGCCCATGAAAGTCGACACATGCACAATCAAACACATTGACATACACCGCACACAAAGACAAAGATCCCCCGTATATTCATAATAAAGGTTTTGGGTTAGATCGCGTTATTTATAAACGTGTCGTAACCCTCCACCACCCGACACGGCCAATCAGCAAAAAAGTGTCACGTTGAGAAAAGACAAATAATTCACTACTTTAGCCCACCGGTGTGTTGAAGAGTGAATCCACAACATTTACACTTTGTTAACAGACTGTTGGGGCAAGTGCTGTTAGCGAGCACCTATGAAGGCCGGCACGGCAGACGAGGGGGTGGGTGGGCAACGACACGCTCGGCCGCCTTTGTCTCCCCAGTGGCGATGCCGATACATCTCACCAGGTACTCATTTGAGGCTGAGTAGACCTAGGGGAGACCCAGGACCGGTACAGATAATCGTCACCTGGTGATGGCCGTGAGCGGGAATCGAACTCGGGTGGCCGGGTTCGTAGCGGAGCGCGCTAACCGCTACATTACCGCTCCAAAGACAAAGATCCCCCGAATAGTCTGTACCAGACTGTTGGGGCAAGTGCTGTTAGCGAGCACCGATGAAGGCCGGCACGGCGCGCGAGGGGGTGGGTGGCCAGCACCACGCCCGGTCGCCTTCGCACTACCGCTCCCCACAGACAGACAGACAGTAATGCCCAAAACCAAAGACACACACAGACGAACGGAGGCACTCATCACCTACTCAATCATACGCGCGCAGACACACACACACCATATACTCTTACACAAACAAAGCAAACGTACCCACGTGACTTTACCGAAAGAACCAAACAGTATGGATTCCTGCAGTCACGAAAGCTTCAAATCAAGATCAAACGTATACCGTTGACATACATATACAGAGACAATGACCCTCCGTATATCCTTCAACAGACTGTTGGGGCAAGTGCTGCTAGCGAGCACCTTATGGAGGCCGAGGGGGTGGATGGCAACCACTTCGTCCCTCCACGTTGCTCTCCCTGATGTTTACACACCGCACCAGCTACTCGATTGAGGTTTGAGTCGACCTAAGCGAGGCCCCAGGACATGTTAATATATTCGTCACTGGCGTTGGCCGCGTGTTGTAGCGCGATGCGCCAACCACTTGCGCCACCGCTCCCCATATATATTATTACTATATACACATCACATCGTACACATTTTATACGCACACACTCATACAAAAAAGACACACCGACACGTAATATACTCCTTGCGCATACTGACACACATGCGTACACACAGAGACACACCCACATGAACAAAAGACAAAGATCCCCCGTGTAGCCTGAGTAGATTGTTGGAGCAAGTGATGTTAACGAGAAGGCCGGCAACGGTACACGAGGGGGTGAAGTGGTCAAAACCACGCCCGGCCGCCTTTGTCTCCCCAGTGTTGACGTTTTACATACCGCTCCAAGTATACATTTAAGGCTGAGTCGACCTCGGAGATGTCCAGGACCTACTCAAATATTCGCCACTATTACGGGCCATCGAACTCGTATCGCTGGGGTTCGTAACGCCGTGCGCTAACCACTACACTACCGCTCATCACACACAAAGATCCCCGTATAGCCTTAATAGACTGTAGAGGCAAGTGCTGTTAGCGAGTCACCTATGAAGGCCGGAACGGCACACGAGGGAGTTGGTGACCAGCACCACACCGACCGCCTTTGTCTCCCTAGTGACGATGTTTACACACCGCACCAGGTACTCATTTGAGGCTGGGTCGACCTATGGGGAGGCCCAGGACCGGTTCAGACAATCGTCACTGGTGTTGGCCGTAAGCGGGATTCGAACTCAGGTTGCCGGGTTCATAGCGCAGCGCGCTAACCGCTACTCTACCACTCCCCCATAGACACACACACTGACACACACACTGACACTCTGACACACACACTGACACACACACCGACACACACACCGACACACACACTGACACACACCGACACACACACTGACACACACCGACACACACTAACACACACACAGACACACGAACTGACACACACACCGACACACACACTGACACACACTGACACACACACAGACACACGAACTGACACACACACCGACACACACACTGACACACACACAGACACACGCCGTCCTTGTGCCACGAACCCCCTCTCCCCGCAACGCCCCAAAAACCTCCCACGCCGACACAAAACTCACCTCCCCCCTCCTCCTCCTCTGCCCGCAGACTTGGAGGGTGACTCCTCAACCCCGGAGGGACGACGAGGACCTGGGCAAGCTTCTGGACATCGACTTCATCCTCTCCAACAGCATGCAGCACGCCGACTGCTCGAGCCCCACGCCCACCGCCTACGTCGCGGGGTCACCGCCGCCCCGCGCCGCCGGCTTCTGCGCCGCCACCGGAACCTCCTCGAGTGACGCTCTCGGGTGCGCACCGAAGCACAGCGCCGCAGGCGGTGCGTCGATCGCCTCCTCCGCCTCCTCCACGTCCTCCATCGCCGCCGCGTCCTCCTCCGCCAATTACACGCTGCCGGAGACGCCTGAGAGTTGTACCAACGGTGGTGCCGGTGGTGGTGGTGGTGGTGCCGGTGGTGGTGGTGGTGGTGGAGCCACAGGATTTGAGAGTCGGGACTCGGTGTACGTGGCTGCGTGCGGGGTGGACGCGTTCCAAGCCAAGCCTTGCCCCAGCCTGGTGGAAGAGTTGCTCACCCCAGACCTCGACTTCTCTGGCAGTGGTTTTCTGGGCCACGGGGACGGCGCTCACTTCTCTCCCGACAAGACGCACGACTTGCAGCAGCAGCAACAGCAGCAGCAAGGGCAGCAGTTGCATCAGCAGCATCAAGGGCAGCAGTTGCATCAGCAGCATCATCATCATCAGCAGCAGCAGCAGCAGCAGCCGTCTGCTGCGAAGGGAGGACACATTTACGCGGGGCCACACATCGACCCGCATCTCTCCCATCATCATCATCAGCAGCTCCAGCATCAGCAGCATCAGCAACATCATCAGCATCATCATCAGCAGCAGAGTCAAAGGCTCATCCCTCTCACTCACATTCAGCAGCTGGGGCAGAACATTAAGCGGGAGCACAACCCAGCTGGGCCTGGAGGTGCCGACTCGCACGCGTGCTTCATGGCTGACGAGTCGGCCGAGCCTAGTAAGGTTCACCATCGGCTGCATCAGCAGCAGCAGCAGCAACATCAGCAGCAGCCCTCTAAGGGCGGACACATTTACCCATTGTCTCTTTCGGAGGAGCATCATTCTCACCTACAGCACCACGGACAGCAACAACAGCAGCAACATCAGCAGCAGCAGCACTTCCCGATGCACCACCGCTTCCCAGGGGCATTTGGACGCTTATACAGTCACCAGCAGCAAGCGCAGCATCATCATCAGCAGCAGCAACTTCAGCAGCAGCAGCAGCATCATCCGCAGCAGCAGCAACAACAAGGGATGCACTTCCAAGGGCAATTTAACATCTTGTACCATCACGGACATCATCATCAGCAACATCATCATCAGCAGCATCATCATCATCAGCAGCAGCACCACCACCACCAGACGCTGGTCACGCCGCCCTCCTCCCCGTCCGTGCTGGACGCCGTGGCGATGTTCGTCCCCGCGGGGGGGGCTCCGTGTTGCCCCCCCGCGCAGGCTGCCCCGCTGCCCCCCCAGGCGGAGGGTAAAGTGGGGCCTGGCAAGAGGGGGCGCAGGTCGTGGGGCGCCCGGAAGCGCACGGCGACTCACACGTGCGAGTACCCCGGATGCGGGAAGACCTACACCAAGAGCTCGCACCTCAAGGCTCACCTGAGGACGCACACAGGTGTGTGGCTGGGTGGGTGGATGTGTGTGTGTGGCTGGGTGGGTGGCTGGGTGGGTGAATGTGTGGCTGGGTGGGTGGATGTGTGTGTGTGGCTGGTTGGGTGTGGGTGTGGCTGGGTGGATGTGTGTGTGTGTGGCTGGGTGGGTGGGTGGACGTGTGTGTGTGGCATGGGTGGGTGGATGTGTGTGTGTGTGGCTGGGTGTGTGGTTGTGTAGGTGTGGGGAGCGGTAGTGTAGCGGTTAGCGCGCTGCGCTACGAACCTGGCCACCCGAGTTTGATTCCCGCTCACGGCCAACACCAGTGACGATTATCTGAACCGGTCCTGAGCCTCAAATGAGTACCTGGTGCGGTGTGTAAACATCGTCACTGGGGAGACAAAAGCGGTCGGGCGTGGTGCTGGCCACCCACCCCCTGATGTGCCGTTCCCGACCTTCATAGGTGCTACAGGCTAAACAACACTTGCCCCTACAGTCTGTGAAGGCTATAGGGTGATCTTTGTCTTTGTTGTCTGTTAAGTTATCCGTTGTGTTGTCACAGTTCTACCTTGTGTTGTCCGAAGTTTCGCCTCGACGTGCTGGAAACCTCTTCAGGAATGAAGTGTGTGTATATTCGTATGTGTAATATACGTGTTGTTATGCCTTTTGCTGCGTATGTGTGAGTGTATACGCGTGTATGTGTGAGTGTATACGCGTGTATGTGTGAGTGTATACGCGTGTATGTGTGAGTGTATACGCGTGTATGTGTGAGTGTATACGCGTCTGTGTCTATGCGTCGTGTCCGTGTTTGTGGGGAGCGGTAGTATAGTGATTAGAGTGCTGTGGTGCTACGAACCCGGCGACCCGAGTCCGATTCGCCCCACGACAAGACAGGACCATTGACGATTGTCTGAACCCATGACCGGTTCAGATAATCGACTCGGCCTGTGTAAAACATCGCTAACAGGGAGATAAAGGCGGCTGGGCGTGGTTCTAGCCACCCATCCCCTGCACGTGCCGTACGGGCCTTCATCTGTGCTACTCGCGAACAGCATTTGCCCCAACATCATGTATGAAGGCTACCCGGGCGATCTTTGACTTCTGTATAGGCCTTGACATGAAAGTGTTTGCCGTGTGTCAATTGACACCCCTGGACGCCGATTATATAAATCCATCCCTCTCGGGATCGCCCAGGCGAAAGAGTTTCACACTTACTAAACACACGCACGCACGCTCGCTGTGTTGATGTCTGCTCCGGGTGTCGGAGTCTCTGCGGGTGCCCTCTAACCCCCCCCCCCCTCTCTCTCCCCCGTGGGTGTCCGCAGGAGAGAAGCCCTACCAGTGCAACTGGGAGGGCTGCGGCTGGAAGTTCGCGCGCTCCGATGAACTCACGCGGCACTTCCGCAAACACACGGGCCACCGGCCCTTCCAGTGCCACCTGTGCGAGAGGGCCTTCTCGCGCTCCGACCACCTGGCCCTCCACATGAAGAGGCACATGTGAGGCCCGGGCCTCCTCGTCCTCCTCCTCATCGTCATCATCAGCATCCTCCGCATCTTTCCCTGTCACCCCCCCCCCCCTCCCCCCCACCCCTTCACTTCAAGTCGTCCGACTCATTCCAAACTTCCTCCTCGACTCTCCCAAGGCATTCACCTCCACCACCCGTGTCCCTCCCCACTCTCGCCCTCCTCCTCTCCCACCACCCACCTCTTCCCTTCAACCTCGACCACGCTACCTCCAGAAATTCTTACCTGGTCACCGGCCTCTCCACCCATCCCTCGCCTCCTGCCCACCCTCTCCCAGCTTCGCCTCTCCACCCCGACGCCGTCCGAACCACTCCTATACCGCCTGGGGTCTGCGACCTCTGGTGGCAGAAGTCCCGGAGGTCCATCCTCTGGTCGCAGGAGGAGGTGGAGGATTGAGGAAGGAGGTGGTGATGTAGCAGGAGGAGGAGGGTGAAAGTGTGTGGAGTAACACTCAACCTTCAAGTTCACCTCTTTACAAACGCTCTCCCCTTGACTCTGCCAAGAAGGGTGGACACGAATCCAGTATAAGACACGCACTCACACACGTCATTACACAACGTCACACCGAAGATGTTTGGACAGTGGAAGAGTAGGCCAAATACCCTTTACACCCCGTGGCTGCCTAGAGCTCCCGCTCATGGCGTGAGCCAGCACTTGCAGGGGCTGCGCCTCGACAGTTCTTTGTAATTTGTTTTTTGTTGTTGTACACGCATCAATATATGAAGATTTATCGACTGTATCTATACAAAGATTTATAGACTGTATCTATACGAAGACTGCGGGCTGTACGGGACTGCCCGTGATGGGAGCGGACCCGATGGAGAAGGGGTTTACATTTTCTCTCGTCGGCTTTCGATGGAGAGACCCCCGTGGAGAAACCCCCAAAGTCGCACTACAAAAAACTCACCGGGTTCAAAGCCAACGACCCAAGTTTACAGAACAAAAAACCCGGGAGTGCTGTTATAACACAAATGTACATAACATTTTAAGAGTCGTGATGATGACGCATCGTCTGTATATATTTATATAAACAGCATTATATCGATTATTATCACTCGTATTTTGTATTATCGCTGTGTGCCTATTGTAAGAGTGAGGAAGGCGGGGGGCCCTGGTAGTCGCGGGTGTTGGCCAGTTGACTTGGGCGATATTGCTGCCAGGAGAGGAGCGCTGATCCGGGGCTGTGCTCCGGAAAAGTGCCAAGCCCCAACCCCCTCCCCTCCTCTCTCCCTGCTGTCGTTGTTGGGAGGGGGGGAGGTGCTCTGTAAGCTGTTCCATGAGACGTGAAGCCCTTGGATGAGAGAGGCGTCATCTAAAGCACAAGAAGGGAGCGAGCGAGCGATGGCGAGATATGGGCGGTGGTTGTTGGTGGCGGTGGGGGGGGCATCGACACGTGACCTCTTGACCTCTGACTTACCGCGAAGTCTGAGTCAAGAACGATCAGAATTAAAATCTTTTGTTTACGTGACCCGTAACGTAACCGCGTAAAAAAACCGGTTAATGCCGGTTTGTCACACACATACAGAAACGTCTGCCAGTCATAAGCATCACCCGTCTACCTCTTGACCTGAGCACTGGACTCGCGATCTGGAGGTTTGCCGGTTTGATGCCCTCTCCCGGCCCGGCAGCTGAATCCGCGGTGCCTCTACCCGCCCAGCAGTCAGGACACGGGGTTCGCCGCGACTGTGGGGCGACCAACGTGGCGTGTGGTGGGTTCGAGTTTGGGAACACCCACATCTCGTTACTCGAGAGAGAGAGAGAAACGAATATCGGATTGTCAAACCGGTTACCCGTAACCGTTCGGCCAACCCCATTACGATTCCATCGTCACGATTCGTGCGTGGGTGGCTGGTCTCTCGTGGCCGCAGAGCGGTCGCGTTCAAACCCATTCCACAAATGTGTAAGTCCGTTTCGCGTTTGTTTGTTTGTTGGTTTTTTGGCACTCGGCTTTCGCTTCCTCAACCCCCAAATGTCGCGTTGCCTCCAGCGAACCGGCACTGACCGGCGTGGTGAAGTATGGTCAAGCCACCCCCCCCCCCACCTCGTTCCACAGCAGGGCGCGGGCGTTCACCCAGCATTGGACTGACATTGAGGCCGCTGTGCGGGAGGAACGTGCGCAACGGAGGAGAGGGAGAGAACACATTTTTTGATATTTCAATAATCGGAGAAGTCTTCGCCAGGACTGTCTCAATGGATCGACTACCGTGCCATTATTACTGCTGCCGATGATGATGATGACAATGATGCTGCTGCTGATGATGATCATCATCAGCATCATCAGCTCCTCGCGATGCTGTATTCAAGCCGGGAGTCGTTATGACTTCGGCAACGACACTAGAGAGCCAGCTGCTGCCTTTGCCGTTGCGTGAACGTGCACGGCGATCAATTTATAGATACCCCGCTCAGTTTAACAAACGGAGCGCGCGGCACCGAATCTCACGCGCGCGCCGTCCCGCGTCCGCCGGCACGCGTACCCAGAGGCCTTCATCCAGCGGTGGAGTGACCACGGCTGATGGCAACAACGTGTTTTGACCGCCGGTAATCTCAACACGCTCGCGAACTCTTGTGAACTCCCTCTGCTTGGCGAGACGCGGGAGACATCCGCTGTCACGATGTCAACGCGGCCGTTGAGAAGGAGGTCTTTGGGAGGGACGTTCGAAATTCGGTGGGGGTGTCTGTAAGTGGATCGCCCGTTGCCAGCAGCATATAGATAACGAGCAAAACAATACACCGTAGTCCATTTACAGATACCCCACCGTTGGCGAATACATTCCGAATCGAAGCGTTCCGGACCCGTCTCTCCCCGCCCCCCATCTCAATCAGTTCACGCATCTCATATATGTTTAATAGACATCGGTAGGGTATCTATAAACGGATCGCCCTATATATGTTTTTTTTGTAAAGGGGCAATTATGATCGCTATGATGGTGGTGATTGCTATGATTGTGATGTTGTTATTGTTGTTGTTACACGCTATGGGCCGGTCCCAGCAAACACTGTGTATGGACACTGATAGTTTACACTTGACACGTTACGACATGTGGCCTTGCTATTATTATTATTACTATCTTTGATATACCTGGATATGAACATTAAACATCCTGCTTAACGCTGGCGGTGTGAACGTGTCGTGCACACTCTGTGTGTGTTCGTCTTTGTCGGGGAGCGGTGGCGCCGTGATTAGCGCACAGCACTACGAACTCGTGTCACCCGAGATCGATTCTCGCTCACGGCAAACACCAGCAGTGACGATTATCTGAACCGGTTCTGGGCCTCCGCCTAGGTCGACTCGGCCTCAAATGGGTACCTGACGCGGTGTGTAGTAAACATCGCCACTGGGGAGACAAAGGCGGCCGGGCGTGGTGCTGGCCACCCACCCCCTCGTGTGCCGTGCCGGCCTTCATAGGTGCTCGCTAACAGCACTTGCGCCGAAAGTCTGTTAAGGCTACACGGGAGATCTTTGCCTTTGTTGTGTGTCTATGTGTGTCTATGTATGTCTATGTGTGTCTATGTATGTCTATGTGTATCTGTATATGTCTATGTGTATCTATGTATGTCTATGTATGTCTATGTGTGTCTGTGTATGTCCATGTATGTCTATGTATGTCTATGTATGTCCATGTGTGTCTATGTATGTCTATGTATGTCTATGTGTGTCTGTGTATGTCTATATATGTCTATGTATGTATATGTGTGTCTGTGTATGTCCATGTGTGTCTGTGTATGTCTATATATGTCAATGTATGTCTATGTGTGTCTGTGTATGTCCATGTATGTCTGTGTATGTCTATGTATGTCAATGTATGTCTATGTGTGTCTATGTGTGTCTATGTATGTCTATGTGTGTCTGTGTATGTCCATGTGTGTCTATGTATGTCTCTGTATGTCTATGTGTGTCTATGTGTGTCTATGTGTGTCGATGTATGTCTATGTGTGTCTATGTATGTCTCTGTATGTCTATGTGTGTCTATGTGTGTCGATGTATGTCTATGTATGTCTTTGTATGTCAATGTGTCTGAATAGTGAGGGGCGGTGGCGCAGAAATTACCGTCCTATTTACGACTCCTGCAAACGGTGTTTGCTAGCAACACTTCCCACAACAGGCCACGCGCGTGGTGTGTGTGCGTTAACAGCACGTGCCACAACGGGTTGTAAGGCGAAACATAAGCAGTGGTTCTTTGTTTGACACGTGTGTCGGTGTGCCTGTGTGTGTGTCATTGTGCTTCGAGGTATAGGTGTGTTCGGGTAGGTGTGGTTAGGCGGGACTGGCCAATGTGTGTGGGTGTGTGGCTGTGGTCGACTCAGCCTCAAATGAGTACCTGGTGCGGTGTCTAAATATCGCCACTGGGGAGACAAATGCGGCCGGGCGTGGTCCTGGCCACTCACCCCCTCGTGAGCCGTTCTGGCCTTCATCGGTGCTCTCTAACAGCACTTGCCCCAACGGTCTGTTACAGGCTATACGGGGGATCTTTGTCTTTGTGTATATGTGGTCGACTCAGCCTCAATTGAGTACCTGGTGCGGTGTGTAAACATCGCCACTGGGGAGACAAAGGCGGCAGGGCGTGGTTCCGGCCACCCATGCCCTCGGTGTCCCGTGCCGGCCTTCATAGATGCTCGCTAACAGCCCTTGCCCCAACAGTCTGCTACAGGCTATAAGGGTGATCTTTGTATTTGTCCTGACCAGACCCAGCCTTAAGCAGCGCACGAGCACGGTGAGCACCCGGATGGGTGGCCACCGCTCCCACCCAGGCTGTTGCAGGGGCTACGGCGAGAGATGATGGCAATGCAGCAGCAGCTGCAGCAGCAGGGCGGGTGCTGGGTTTTTATTCGGGCTCTCTCCAGGCTTTCCTTCCCAACCAAACGAAGCCAGCAACTCCCTGGAATCGTGGACACTCGTGGCCTAGCCCAGCGCACGTCTCTCTCTCTCTCGCCCTCTCAGCGGCGGAGTGTTCGAGGCTCCCTCGCTGGACCGGCTCGCCTGCGTGTCGTGATTATCGTGCAATCGTCCACCACGCGGACCCCCCCTCCCCCGGTTGGAGCAGTCGAGCTCGGTTGTTCAACGGCTGTGGAACTCCCAAAGCCCCGAGGGAGAGGCGCGGTCGTTTATGTCAAAAAAAATGTTTTAATAAAAAATAAATCCATAAAAGAAAATATTCAATATCTCATCTGAGTCTATAAAAAGGCGACCCGTGACTGCGGCACGGGTGTAGGAGTAAAGGCGCAGCCCTGCAATTTCCTTACCCGTGCCGCTGCTGGCAGAAGCCCCCCCCCCCCATATGTATTTGGCCTACTCTTCTACGCTGGAGAACTAACGCTATAACCCCACGATACGTGACTGTGGACTGCCCAAGTAGGTATAGTCTGCTGGGTGGACAGAGGCGACGTGCGGGGAAGAAGGAGGTTTTAAAAAAAAACACTCGCTCCCCCCTCCCATTGTTGCAACCGGCGCGCTTCTGGATTGCGAGTCCAATGCCCTCGCCGCCGTGTCTGCTACTGACAGACGCGTCGCCTGTCATCCGGCGTGGTTGGAAGCGAGGGTTGTCGCATCGCACGGACGTCGCAAAACTTCCCGGCTCCCCAGCAGAACGCAGCTGTGCGGGCAAAAAAAATTGCGGACTCGATGCGTCTGTCCCTTCGATCGGCGCGGCGAGATAGAGCGTTGTACCCTCTCGGCACGCTCTCGGCACGCGTGGCTTTTTTCTCTCGCGGTGCTCCCCCTTTGACTCCCACGCGTCCGTTCATCAACACAGCTCACCGCGTCGGGGATTGTGCGATGCGACCCTGCATGCCGTGGACAATGCAGCTCCGCGTACTATTCACTCCCCCTTAAGGGGCTGCACACAACGATCCACTGTATAGCCTTTAACAGACTGTAGGAGCAAGTGTTGTTAGCGAGCACCTATGAAGGCCAGCACGGCACACGAGGGGGTGGGTGGCCAACACCACGCCCGGCCGCCTTTGTCGCCCTAGTGGCGATGTTTATACATCGCACCAGGTACTCATTTGAGGCTGAGCCGACCTAGGGGAGGTCCAGGACCGGTTCAGATTATCGTCACTGGTGTTTGCCGTGAGCGGGAATCGAACCTGTGTCTACAGGTTCGTAGCGCAGCGCGCTAACCACTACACTACCGCTCCCCCTTAAGGACTGCACACACGACCACTACCACCACCAATCACCATCATCATCATCTCACCACGGCAGCATCTCTAACGCTTCCACCGCTCGTCTTTCTTTTTTTTATTTAATCTCCGATGAACGAAGGGAGGAATGATTCACACTAAACAAACAACGCCGCATTCCCTTGCAAGTCGGGCGATTATGAAACGATGCCACCTGTAATTGCGGTGAGTGTAGCGTTAATTACAGGGGACTAGGGGAATTACAGAGTCTCGAATTGGCGTGGGATGGGGATGGGGGGATGGGGGGAAGCGGGGGGGGGGGCAATGACCTCGCCCAAAGATTTTAGTCCCCAACCAATGGCGATTGTTTCTTTATTTATTTTTATCCGAGAAATCCGAACCGGAACTTTGTTGGACATTCTTTCGAGAGGGGTTTCGTCCGCTTTAGGTTTATTTATTTCTTTATTTCAAGATGTTTTTAACCGATCTGTGAGTTGTCCATTGTACGTAATCAGCATGTGTATTCATGCTGGAGGAATCCGATGAGCTATAAAGCTCTTTTTTCACGTATACAAGTGGGCGGCCACCGAAACACGCGGAAAAAAAGCCACGCCTTTGCTCGCGAGGGGGCAACGCTCGATATCCCCCGTACAGATGGAAACAGATGGAAACAGATGGAGAGTAGTGCTCTCCTGCTAAACGAAGACAGCTGTAATGGTCAGCAATCCAGGGGTTTCCCCGGTTCGATTCCATCTCCCGGAGCGGCAAGTTTACACAATCGTGCAACATTCAAGAAGTGCACTGATTTACACACGCAACACAAATTCCACTGGAGCCTGTAAACCGGAAATCATCACCGGGATAATTTTTTACTGGTTCCTGGCTTGCCATTAATCGGTCAAATCGATTCTGAAAAGGGTTCCTGTTTACATCTCCACGAAGTGTCCCGTCGCGGTAACCCAACGAGAGATTGGCGAGGACTTTGCGGAGCCTCTCGTCCAGCAGTGGATTGATCATGGCTGGTGATGATGATGATGGCGTGCGTGGCGATGATTTGTTCGCAGGCGATGGGCGCTCGCCCGGGCTTTCCCGCATTCGCGTCACTCTTCTTTATTTCACCAGGTGTGAGGCACCTTTGCATAATTGATTCCACGATTTGCATAATTGATTCCACGATTTGCATAATCGCGTAATAACGTCCAGGGGATTATTCCCGTCTCTTCTAATTACACATGGGCCCCGGGTGGCTCAGCGGTGGAGTTTAAATCGTGGTTGGGTGGCTGACTCAGCCCATTATCCTCCCGGTGTCGATTAAAAAAAACACATGAGTCCTGTACCGCTTTGTGTGGAAGTCAACAGTGGTTTGGTACTCTGACTGTACTTGCCCCCTCCGTCATAGCAATGTGGAATATCCACAACTGGGCCCAGGGGCTGTGAGCAGGAGATGAGCATCGACGCATCAATGCTCGTTTGAGCAGCAGGAGATCACGTGGCGATAGATGGCGGTGGGTTTTCGGGGAGGCCTTTCATCCAGCAGTGGATAGGTCAGTGCTTTATGATGATGTAAAGCTCGCACGGTACCGCGGTGTGTGAGCCACTGCGAGAGAACACGAGAACACGTGGGGCTATCACGCCACCTGCAGGCGGAAACTAAAAACGCTGCCCCAAAGTTGAGTGTTTTTGTTTACAATTAGAACCCATAAACTCATATAGAACCCATAGACTCACATAGAACCCATAGACTCACATAGAACCCATAGACTCACATAGGACCCATAGGCTCACATAGAACCCACAGACTCACATAGAACCAATAGACTCACAATGGACCATAGACTCACATAGAACCCACAGACTCACATAGAACCAATAGACTCACAATGGACCATAGACTCACATAGAACCCATAGACTCACATAGAACCAATAGACTCACAATGGACCATAGACTCACATAGAACCCACAGACTCACATAGAACCAATAGACTCA